ACAGCTTAATGTGGAGGAATGGAGTCTTTTCATTTAGTAATTTTCTCACTTATTTCGAGCCCCTTTAACTTGATCGTTATTATGACCATATATATGCGAGTAGGCCTACTATGTAACGTACGTACACCTACTAGTATATTACATGGGGTTCGTATTTCTCTAGTCGGAACTGTTTGTTGTTATTCTTCATTTTAACGACATTGCCTACCAGTAGTTTGTGTCAATATAATTCCATATACATATATAATTTTTAAATCTGAAAAGATGTAAGAGACAACGCTGGCAACGCGGAGGGAACGCCAACAACACCAGTACGGTTCTGTCTATCCTGGGAGCTCCGGTGGAGTACCTGGGTACGATAGCGAACAGCCACGAGCTAGGGTAAGTCCTACACAGGTATCCAAACAGGTAGATTGCTGTATGATACCAGCCGTTTGATTGTTGTCACCTGAGGCGGTCGTAAATGTGACTTTTTTCCTCTTCCGCCGCAGAATCTAATAAATACATATGTAGGTCCGAGACTTTATGCCAATACTGCTTGAGGGTTTATATTTTATATATAACGGCAGCTAGAGAGATTTACTTTTTAGATAAAAACATGTTGGAAAAAACCCCAAAATAGTAAAGGACTATTTATTTTTTAAATATCAAATTCAACAGCTTATAACTGTGACGGCAAGTTCTAACGTGCGTTTATAATTAAATCAATTAATCTAGCACTCTGAAGTGGTGATTTTTAGATGATAAATATCTTTTTTTTTTGTCAGCTTTCTCCGTGACGACTATCAGCGTGCTGGTATTATAATAGACAACTGTGTTATAGTGGACAATTGTAGCTGCCCTGTCTCCCTCGTACTGCTCAGCTCGGTCTCAGGATCAAGAACTATTATTCACGACAGCGGGTAAGACAGTTTCCAAACCGGGGACCCAATTCACACACACACACACACACACACACACACACACACTAAGAAAAAAAACGTAATTCTGCAAATCCTAAGCGGGTCTCACAGCCCACATGAGAGTCTGCCCGTGTAAGGCCTCTAGCTCAACTTAGTCATCTTCGGTAACGAAGGACAGCCTTTTGATGACGATGAACGTCAAAATGTTCCCTCAACTTCATTTCAGGAACTTTTGTCCACGCTTCATGATGATAAAGGTACACTATTTGTGATTTTCCCGTCAAACAAGTTTTTTTTTTTCCTTTTAAAAATGTAACTGTTTTATATTTCAGGTCTCTACCTGAACTGACACACAAAGACTTCCAGGTCGACCTCGGTTCCTATGCCTGGGTACATTTCGAGGTAGGTTCACCGCTAACCTGTGAAAATAAATTATTATAAATAATAAAAAATAAAAAAGTCGTATTACTTCTAAAATTCTAAGATGTACTTTTGAGTGCGATATACAGGCAGGTTGGGTTGCTTTGCCTTATTATAATTCAACTTTTCTCCCTTAGATTAAGGTACATATCATGATAGAGCAAAATGATGAATTTTCTAGGTTTTAGCATTGCTACCATGGTACATCCAATCCGAAAACGACAGCGGTACTGCCTGGACCTAAATCACCGATTTAATATGAAAACCATTTTTAGAGTAACTACCTGTAGGTCCACAGATAAGACAAGCCCTAAGCCAGGTGGGGTTCGAGGAGTTCGAAGACCCCCCCCCCCCCCCCTTTTGGCCGGGAAAAAGTCCCCTCTGGGCACTAAGGTTTCACGGTAAAAGGTCCACTTTTTCAGAAAAAAAGAACCCCTTTTTAAAATTGCTGGATACAGGCCTGTAAGGACATTATTCGCGAGCGTTGATTATCACAAAAATATGACATCTAGGCGTTCCTCTTTTCAGGGGCGACCAAGCGCAGCAGAGCAGGTGAAGATGTTGAGAGATATAGATAATCACAACGCGGACCTTGAAGAAAACGACAGGATAACCACCTCCGTGGAGCTAGAGAAAAACAGACCAGCTTTAGGTAATACATGGTAGGGGCCTATAAGAAAGGGTGTGTGTGTGGGGGGGGGGGGATAAATACCTGTACCAATATGTGTATCTGTACGGTGTATATGTAAGTTGGGCAAAAGATTTGAAAATGGCTTCTGAATTAAATGTCATATAAAATAGTATCATGTGATTTCAAATAACCCAACACAAATAGCATTTCTGAAATCCCACATATTCTGTTTTCCTTTTATCGCTGTGCCAACCAGGGCCGTCTAATTCGCCTTCTATTTATTTATATATGAACATGAATATAAACTTGCATATGAAGATACAGATATAACTGTAGAACGATCCACCATATTGAATGTAAAATGTTCATGGATTATTTCAGCCCAGCTCATTGACAAAGCTGACTACGTGTTTATCAGCAAAGACTATGCCACAGCCCACGGATTCTACAGCAAAGAGGACGCAGTGGAAGGGTTTGTGGATAAAATCAGAGAAGGGTAGGCAAATCTGTCGATTTTTAAATTAAAACTAAAATCTCTTTGTGCATGGAGGGAATGAAGATGACAATGATGATATGATATTATTCGCGGTTTATTGCCATGAAAAATTTACAAAAAATTTTAAGTTGAAGCAGGGCGCAGCATGCCCGCATAATTTTTCTTGAAAACTACACAGACTCTTATGGAAATACAAATGTAATATCCAGTACAGTCCCGGAGTATGACCCGGTGGTCGAAAATCTGGCTATCCTTTTTCATCAAACCAGACACAACATGTTTAAAATGTTGCCATGTGGCCTTAACAGTGTTGGATGTCGAAAAAAATTAAATTATTTTCCTTTAGATATTTAGTTCTACCGACACAGTGTAGGATGTCATATTGATTATATATTCATCACTGTATAACTTGGTTTTATTCATACAAAATTGACAGCAGTAAAGTCAGCACATAGTTCAGTCCCCACACAGGTACATCCCAAATGCCTGCCAAATATGTATTCCGCACCATTCGGCAATTTGAAATCGGAAATTTAGTGGAATTTCGCAAAAATTCAAGTTGGGCGAAGTTCAAGAGTCTCATAAGATACCAAGTGAACAATCAAGTTTTCTTCGACAATATTGAGTTCAAAGTTGGCTGGTTATGCGGAGACTGCTTTATATTTATATATCTATCTCTCTAACTGTTTTTGCGTCATGAATGTTTTTACACGTTTCAGAGCGACGGTAATATGCGCGTGGGGAGAGGACGGCGCCTGCGCAAAACCAAAAGGAGAGCCAACTATATCTGTGCCCGCCATTTCACCCGGAACTATTATTGATACTCTCGGAGCAGGAGATACTTTTAATGCGGCCATGATACACGCACTCTGCAAAGGTGCAGTGCTGCAATCCGCTCTAACATTTGCCTGTAAAGTTGCTGGAGAAAAGTGTGGAATGAAAGGCTTTAGTGGCTTGCGATACACAGATCTGTCATTTGAAGCAGAGAGCGATGGTAGTTCTAGTGGCAGCAAATAGACACGAACATATGCAGCCTACTTAAAGAACTTACCTTGTAGGCCTACATGTATTTGGTGATTTTAAAACTGTAACACATTTACCCGGATTGAAAGCCAGTTCCCATCCATAGTGTGTCGAGTTTAAGGTGGCGTGTGCGTTGTAGTGACACCCCCATAACGTTACTAGTCACCTTTAAAGGAGGCTAACCTCATCATCGATCAGCACTAGTAGTGCCTTTATATAATTAGGCCTATTTTTAGCGCCTCTTCCCCGTTGTTATTCATTGTTTATTTATTATATTTATTCATTGTTTATTTATTATATATTTATTTTTTGCATGATTGCCACACAGTACTATTCTGCCCTTCACAATGGCCAGGGTTTTTTTTTTTTTACTAAATATTCACAGATATGTCTCTGGTTAAATGATGGGACTTTTATTTTTTTATAAATTTGTGGAGATAATTAACCCAGGCGGCAAAGAGTTTTTGTGGTTTTAAGAAAAAGTATGTTATACATAGCAAAAAAAGGATTTATCAAAATAAATGTTTTAAAAATAAATTGAAACATTTTAGACTCCATTTGAAGACACGCCATTTCCATTTGAAGACACGCCATCTATTGTAGCGACTGGAATAATTTTTACTTTAAGAAAGTCATAAAATTTGAATACTTGCTTTCTCAAAATCGAGTTTATATAAAAATGTCAATATTTTTATTTGCCGTTGTGTCAAATGTAACCAAAATAACGATTTAAGAAAATCGCAATTTTCAAATCAAAATGACACTACAAAAATCTCTGTGGAAGAGAGAAGCCCCCCCCCCCCCACCATGTCTCCTCCCCCCAACCAACAGGTCCTAACAGAGTAAGAACGTAAATGAAACGGCAGTAGTATTGCCCAAATGGTTATATTCAATGGAATCCCAGCATCATATACTCGAATGAAACAAGAAAATAGTTGATAATATTTTTCTTCTTTTATTGTCGGCATGATTTTAGCAACTCGAATGGGATGGTGAACCACTGTGCCTTTAATTATTAGAATATTGTCATTCTATTGAAGTTTAAAACGAGTCTTCCTCGCGGAAAATTGGTGGTTTGGGTGTCGTACGTTATTATATAATTCAGGTAAGCGTAAATGGTGAGAAGTGTTCCCATGTTTCCAAGGTCAGTTGAAAATGCAGAACAAAGAAGCCTCGTGTGTTACTTTGCTACATTACAATTTCCGAACGCAGGTCGAATTTTAGGCATTATAAGGATAAACGACAGCCGTTTGTTGTAAGTATTATAAGGGTGATATCACATTACTTATTTGACATTGGTGTACTTTTTTCCTCCTAGATTCAACATTTTGTATTGATATCTCTTATTACATGTTTATTGTAGGAAATTAGAGACATGCATTGAAGGTATGGACGATATTTGCCTGAATTGGTGCATTTTGCACTCGACGCATACAATCGGGTTATGACAATGGGGTAATTTTACTGACATAAACGACTCTTTTCTTGAGCGTTACACATAATTTTTCTTATAAACTGTCTCTAAGCAGATTTGTTTGCAAGTATTTTTTTATTATTTTCAGTAAGTACGAAGATTCTCCACTAGGTGTGACAATGTGCCAATTTTGAATATATATATATATATATATATATATATATATATATATATATATATATATATATATATATATATATATATATATATATATATATGTGTGTTGCATTTATTGGAAAGGTGAATAAAGTTTTTCTTTGGGTTTATTTTGCGTGGTCCAACCTTCCAGATCACATTGTTGAAAAATAGACTCGTGCACTGTTTCATTAATTTGTACACATCATCTCATGAAAGTGGACTTCTCCTAGTTTTATTGGCTCTTCACTGCCGTCTACGAAGAGATTGGAAAAAGCCTCCGTCACACAGACTCACACATCGTACTACAGTAGCTGGGTCGTTCCAGCTCTGTGGGAGATTCTTGCTATTTAAGTGTAATCAATGGAATCAGCTTACTCAGCACGACAGTTGATTTCCCACTAGCTGCTCGAAGAGGCGTGTCTAATAATTAAGCCGATTCCACTGATTGCGCTTCAGCGAGAATCCCCCTGTAGAGTTGGGCCGACCCAGCTAGTACGATGGGTTTATCTGAATGCGGTCATAGACATCGGATATTTGTTTGAAAGAACCTACCAAGATCGCCCGGCTTGGTGATTTGTCTTCTAGCTAATTTGCAGCGTTGATATTTTATATGAAATGTACATTATGCTTTGGGATGTATCATTCGACTACAACGTGCATCAAATAAAAATGGGTACAAGGAGCACTTACAGATGACAAAAAGAAAGAAATGATCTATAGTAGACGTCAACCCTGCGCGTTGGTGGTTTGATACGCGTATCATAGAGATGCTTGTTATAGGGTGTACCGACACGTCGTAGTATAGCACTTTGTCCCTAAATCGCGTTTTTATTTGGGTCCAGATTGACAGTTTTGATCTAAACAGCTGCTGTTTTGTGTTTAGAACACGACCCTTTGATCTCAAACTTTGCCTTTTTACAACCATGCAAGATTCATTTACACAGATCTTCGTAACGAAATTGCCATTTGTGACTTGGAGCAGCATGTCGGTGAACGCGATTTCCGAATTAGTGACTTGGAAGATAAATAAATAAATACGAAGAATGAGACTGAATCAGCACCAACTCCTATCAGTAAGTCGCTAAAATATCAAGCGCTTTCCGAGACTACGGTTAACCATGGACCTAACTAGAGATTCTAATTAGGTCCATGGGTTAACCGATGTGGCACAAATGTGTAAGATTTGTCGTTACCCACCTCCAAACACCGTCGCTATTTTTTTTTCTTTTTTATGTGTACCCCCACCCCACTTAGGGCATGCTACAGATACTTAGTCATGAAGATCAAACCGTATGACTAAGGAAAATGCTGAAATTTACTGAACAAGCAGAGATACAATACGTTGCTGACGACAACTACACAAGCTAGTACATGTACTTTGTTTGATGGTTCGTGACAATATTCAGCTACGTTAAAGAAATGTGTATTGTGTTGTACCCAAAAGGCAAATGTGTTCAGACGTAATGTTTTTTTCTGTCAAAATCGGTAAGTCTCTGATGTTTATTCTACTTATAACTGTTAAATAAAATGTAAATTCGTCCAAAACTATTTTTATAGGGGGCGCCAAATATAATTATTTTAAATTCGTTCACAATTATTTTAATAGGGAACGCCAAATATAATTATTTGTAGTTCGACAGTAAACGCAAATTTGTAAGATGACTTTGAAGCTCTGATTTTGATGACATTTTGTGTAGTTGTGCGGTCGCATATTAAGAAAGCTAAACGGTAAAATCTTTCTCATGTCACCCCTCATTCTTTTACTACTCCATGTCGCATTTATTTCTAGATTTCTTTTAATTATTCAAAGTCGTTTCCATCACAAATTCCCTAAACAAAGTCAAAATCTACTGCGTTTCAGTCTTGTTAACGTGCCAATTTTTGCAGACGTGTCTATATTAAACTGGAACAGGACGTAATAACACAACACGTCAACGTCTTTTCAATTGACTAGTTCCCGTTTTCTGATTTATTATACATAAATGATAGTTAACTATGCAAAACATCCATCTGTTTCTAATCTATAGCAATCTGTGAAACCAACACCTAACCAAATACTATATCAACAGCCAAAAGTACTTTCGAAAACTAGCTATTATAATTAAACCGAAAAAGCATAATTTATTACTGACGTCTTACAAAGAAACATAGATCTACAAGTTACCAAGATACTCTAGAAGTACAAGCTTGCGTTTAATTCGTTGACTTTTTATGTCGTATATCGTCTGTAGCACCAAAGATGTCTTAGGACTAAATATTAACACATTGTCATAAATTACAAGACCAATTTACTTATAGTGCCATCTACAAGTGGTGCATACTGTCATTTTTGCATAAAAAAAGAAAGAAAAAATTGTGCCATGTTTTCATACTTCATTTCAGAATTTGACGGAATATAATCTAACTAAATCTCACAAACAAATAACAAGTTTCACAAAGTTGATACACTCAAATGTTTGCTCACCAACATGTCCAATTAAGACTGTTCTGTAATCCAATATCAACTGCACATGAAGTAAAAAGCCTACAGATGTATAATAAGAATAAATATTTTTTCATGCAGCAAACATAACTGAAGCTTGACTTTCCCAATCTCAGATTGGTTAGAGAAACGATGTGTGTCTGTATATTTATATCAACTACTTATAAATGTTGTGCTCACTTTCTATATTGACACGCACATAAAATAATAATATTGATAATCAACAAGAAAGCTCAACTAACAGAATAAATAAACTTCCCAACTAGCACAATGTACATCTTGCACAACCAAGCCAACATCAGGCGATGTTATAAACCAACGGTCTTTTATCAGATAAAATTTTTACTTTCACAATGCTTTAATTTTTTTCATAATTAGTAATCACCCATTTTAAGATAAAATTAAAGCACTCTTATGCAATATTTTTAAACAATAAAATCGTTTGAAAGCTGACAAAACATTTGGCTTTTATGAAATCTTTTTACGTGCCTTGAATAATATAACACAGGAATAAAAAAATTTAACATGAAAATAAAAAGCACATGCATATGTTTTAATATTACAAAACAATATCAATAACATACATAAGACTGCAAAAACCAAAAACTACACTTCAGCTAAACTGACTCTATAAAGCAAGTAATACCAAAATTGTTGAGCTTGTTTTGTGTAAATTTTCTATGCTCACAAATGATGCAATATTGACTGGACTTCACTGTGAGAAAAATTCTAAATACCTTAATTTTTTTACAACACTCACCAAGGATCAGTTTTACAAACATTCTTTTGGACCAAATCTTTTGGTCTAAAACAGTTGCCATTTCTTTGTTGCTCTAAATTGGACTTATTACTTAATATAACTAGACTTCTACTAATTTCACTTGGGTCAAAATATATAAAACCCAACAGTCAGCCTAAAGTTCTTTTGTGAAAGTAGTTGATTCAAGCACAGTAAAATGCTACATAAGTACATGCACTTAATTTGGTCCAGACCTTCTGTATGAATGTGCGTTGAGATAGTACAAAGTCTACATATACTACATCTACTGGTATCGTATATGCTAGTATATATATAATATATATTTAAGTAACACAATATAAAGATACTCCTTAACAATATATTAACAGATTCAACTAATTTTCTTTTAAAGAATATTATGTTTAAGTGGTCTACTTATAATTATCAGAACAATCAATATTTAGCATCATGGTGATCACTGATGAATGTCTGAAAACTAAAACTATCTTAATAACTAGCCATGCTTATTAATATTAATTTCAGAATGGTACATCTTGTATGGCTTATCTTGTTGCGTGCTGACATCTATATTCTAAAAGAGGGTACTGACAGGTGATGCTTTCTTGATTTTCAGGTGGCCTAGACTGTGACAGAGTGGATTTTTTGAGGTCAAACCCATAAGAATAAATTAGAAATTTATAAACTATCTATCATAACTTAAACAATGTCCATAAATATATGGAAGCATGAGGTCAGATTGTATGTCTAAATTGTCCATGAACTGACCTGCAGGAAAGCTCAAAGGCCACATTTCTGAGGAATCTTACGGTGGTCACTACTAGAAACATTTCTTTTCTCGTTGACGCTGCTGTCTGTAGAATTACTTATATGGAATGGCTAACATTCAATGTTTATTTTCGTAGTAAACGTTTTGAGATTTAGCTGGGACGTTTTGTCCCAAGTCCCGAGTTGAAGTAGTTGTACCAGTAATGTTCTGTATCACAATTACAAACAAATGATGAAAAGCAAAATACTCAAAAACAGATTATATCTCAGAGTTAAAACTTATATGGAATAAAGAATAAGTGTAGCTGTATGACAGTTTAGATGGAAAGGGTTTATATAACACATTTCTTGCACTAAAATAGACAATAATTTTACAGTTCAAAATCCAAACCAGTGCCTGAATATATTTTCAAACTAGGTGAAACTCCCTCAAAACTTTGCCCAAACTATCCAAAATCTGAAACTACTTCAAAATTTGAAACCAGAGGAGAATATTAAGTCTGACAGCTTTGACCCTTTGCTGTAACTTTTTTAGTTTCTTCAGTGCAAGAATACTAATATTCCCCTAAAATAACATTTAGTTAGGAGAACATGAAAGTGGATTCAGAAATTCTGCAAAGTGAGTTGGTTGAATACCACCGAGTATATGTTGGTGAGTCAATAAAAATGATAAATCTTGAAATGGTAAAATACCGTATCAGAATGAATGACGCATATGAAAATTTTAACTATGTAACTATTGAAACTAAAACATCAAACCAAATCAGTTATGAACAAAAACATTCTTACCTTGGTTGTTGGATCATATATGATATTTAGCACAAGCTGAAATTAATTTCACACGGTTAGCTTGCGGTCAACCTGGACGTAGGTCTTCATCAGACGGAGGTGAGTTGTTATAAGCTAATGGTATGATAATTATATTCAGCTTGTGTTTATAAGTATCATCTATAACAGAATTATGGTTCACAGAAAATCTTAAGGTCACTTACAAGGTTCCTTCTTCTTTTAGTCTAAAAACTCAACTCTCACACCAAACCTTAATTGTTTTGACTCATATTTCTACAGTAATGATTCTAGTCACCTCTGATAAATCAAGTCACCTTCAGTGGCGTATTCATTTTAAAACAGTCCCGCACTGCTATAATTGCTTACTTAGTCCCCTTCATGAAGTGGTCTAACCAAATTTGGGCAGCTAATCCCATCTCTGTTCACCTCAAGTAGTAGTCTATCTGAATTAAGAAGGCCTAGTCCATCTCTGTTCACCTCAAGTAGTGGGCTATCTGAATTTACAAGGCTAAGCCCAGCCAATTCATTATATTTTCCTTGTGGACACTGACCCAGTTCTGTCTTTGCTAAGTTTATGAACTTGACATCGCATCTAGATTAAGTTTCTAAGATTTCAAAACTGTTATTTTTCTTGCTAATTTTCACCCCTCCCATGTTGTTTCCGGAATTAGCTTCTTTGAAGGCCATTTGCGTAGACTTCCCACTTAATTCTGCTTGGAAGCTGAAATTAGAGTCACAAATGCTGTTAAAACAAACTATTTTTACATACATAAAACATTAAAAACAACTGTCTTCATAACTAATATTTACTTTTAAACATTAAAAACATAAACTTTACCTTGCAATTTCTAGCTAGGTCTTTCAGACATTGTCATTGCCATTTATTATAATTTTTTCTTTTCTGATTTGAGCTCAAAATAAACAATAGCTCATAACTATAACAATTTGGGTTTAAAACCCAAACATGTTCATCAGACTTAACAATGTAAAATAGTTACAAAAAATTGATAGAAACATATATGTCTGTTTTTATAACACTATCTTGTAATATTATATGCAGGAAGTGAGCTATAAATATTATTATTTATTAATATGAAATACTGAGAAATTGTCTTTTTGAGTACAGTTTACTTTCAACACTAATTTAAATCTTTGTGAAAACTGCACATATTTCCCAGTCTCAAAACATCTAATCCATGTGGAGAATTTTTTCCTGATAATAAAAAAATAATTAAATCATTGCTGAAGAGACTTATCATGTTTTTCCACCTCAGAGAAAAGACATTTCTCCCTTTTAGAAAATCGCATGGAAGAGTCAGTCGAGTAATTAAGGTCCTTTGATGATGGAATTTAAAATACCTTGCCTCACTGGTAGAAAAACATGTTTAGTCTTTCTAGAAATAATTTAATTTTTATCTTTTTACACTTGAGACAAGGAGAAATATATTTCACTGTATTTAACATTATCTAAAAAACAAAAATTTGTTTCTAAAAGACAATTTGTTACTTGTACAACCTATCTTTAGTAAATTACCCATTTAAATTAAATTCTTAGATGAAGATACAGGATGGAATCATAATTGTTAATCAAAAGATACGAATAAAATGTTTTATATTTTCTATTTTTGAAACCTGTGCAGACTTACCTTGGAGAGATGATCACATCCGGCGTGGCCCCAGAGCTGTTGTGAATCACAAGGTATAACTTGGCCACCAGTTCAATGACATGATCCACACTGAAGATGAAATCTCCTTTCTTTACATCTTTATTTCCATTTTCATGCTGAAAAAAAAATATGAACAGAATGTTTTATGTTTTTACATATAACCTAGTTTTCCCTATACATCTAAAAAAGCAAAATAAAATCTTTTAGTTTGATTTATTTCAATTTATTTAAATGAAGTAAAAAACGTGACACAATACTATTAAAAATAACACTTGGGATCAGCAAGCAGCAAAACTATATATGTCAGTGGCTGTGTTTCTAGAGACCTAATGTATCCAGGGATACCACAACCCCTCCTTGGTGATTTGTCCTTTAAATAGCATAATTTATTTCCCTACCTTCTTGACGTGAACAACAACCAGAGTGTCGGAGAAGGGACTAAGGGAAAGTTTTTCAATCATGTTGACAGGAATTCTATATTTGACTGCTAGAGAGCGCTGATCCACTACTAGTAAGGCACTGGTACTGACCACCAGAAGTTTACTGGCCATCTGGAAATAAATGAAATGTGTAGCATAGTGGAAAGAGAGAAGAGAGAGGTCAGTGTCACAAAAGACTTTCAGCCAGGGTATTGGTCCTAAATTATACAACAAAAATCTGGTTTAATTTCAAAGTTAGTCCATAACGGTGTGCTCAAATAATGTATAGGGCTGAAACATAAGCAATGTCTTTCTTGAAAAAAAAGCTTTCATTTTTTAACTGGCCTAGGGTCACAAAAGACAAAATGGTTTTAAACTTTAGACTACTGGTAATTTCTAGGCTTAAGTTTGAGAATAATCATCCCAATTCTCACCTTTCCATTTGACCTGTGTATTTTGCTGACTTGATCGGCAAAGACCACCTGCGTATCTCCTGTCTGTGATGCCACTTTCTGCCATTTTGTATTGTATCTTATTTTTATGTAGTCTCCATTATATGGGTGAGCAACACTGTAACGGGAAAAATTCATTTGTAATTATAGAATCCTCTCTATATCCTGCCATATTTTAAGTAACATGTTTAAACAAACAAACAAACAAACAAACAAACAAGACAATATATAATTGCATTAAATAAAAAAAGTTATCTAACATCTCTTAGATGACTATTTCACCCAGGAAAAATACATCATAGTGAGTGGTAGCAACAAAATTTTAAAAGCAACTTAGGTTCTAAACTATTCTACTGGTATACAGTAAAAGCACCTAATAAGTTACACATAATTTTATATATTTTTAATGACTCCAAAATTATGTGTCTGAAGATCAATAATTTTTCCTCATTGAAAATATTAAGCCATTACCATATATAGTATACAGGGAGAAAAAACAATGGCTCTGTCCCAAGTTCTTACCTCTCTGGGTAATTGACCTTCTTTCCTTTAAAAATATTACTTGCTGTCACTTTCTCCCTCATTTTGGACTTGGCAGCATCATCGAACTTTGCTCTGTATTTATTACACTAGAAGTCAAATAAAAAACATTTAATTTTGTGCAAACAGCATAATTAAATTTTTCTATTACAATAGAAAGCAAACAAGTTTTACAAACAATACATGAAATCACATAATGTTCTCAATTTGCTATCATGTATTTTTTCTTTTAAAAAAATCTAACACGATTCTGAATCTGTGTGCCAACGTCAGTGTGGAGTCGGTATCAAACATGTTGGTATCATACAAGTGCTTCTACGTTCTGCATCTTGTCCAATTCAAAAAGAAACGCCCCGACTCTTCTCATGTACCTTTTGGCACTTACCCGCCACCTATGGTGTATTTTCCGTATTTCCTCCGAGGCCTCTTTGTGCAGCATAGAGCATTCAGGCCACTTCTGATCTATGGGGGACAGGCTAGGCAACTTTTTGGACAAGTCAAGAAGAAATTTCCTTTTCTGAAATGATACATGTGATGGTCCCAGTGTTGTCTACTGTGACATAATTTTTTGTAATTATGATGCATCGAAAATAAGCCCCTAACATCAATAACTTCATAAATTGTTGCTGCAGTTCATGTCCTGATTCTGCCCTTTGGAAAGTTTTGTTTTTATATATATTAAAATTTAATGAGTTTGAAATTGATTAAATTTTGCAAATGCAGGTTCAAGTACATGTAAAAAAAGGTATTTCCCTTTGACTTTGCAAAAAGAAATAAAATGAAATAATGACAAAAAACATGAAGGCACTAGAGCACAGAACAATCTAAAATGGTGCTGGAAATGGGTTTTACAAGACCAAAATAAAATAGACTGTAATAATCTTTGAAGAAAAAAAAACAAAAAACACTTACCAGTGACACTTGCAGAAAACGGATCATAATAGGGACAGCATGAGAGCGGAACTTTCGTCGGTACTCTCTCCGTACCTGCCAACCTTGGAAGTATTTCCTTATGACACCTACGGCCCACAGACATAACTTTGCGCGACGGATTTTCTTGGCCAATTGCCTAGCCTGAAAAGTCAATTTGACGTCTTGATTAAATATTTCCATATTAGCTAGCATATTAACTTTCTTTCCTGGCAAGTTGTAATTCAAAACTACATAATTTCCCCCAAAAAATGTTTTCAAATTTGTCATAAGTTATATAAGAATCATTTGAAAGGCTAAAAACAATATTTGCCACAAACTTAATATACCTATTTCTACAATATACAATGCACTTGGTCTGTATATAATTTAATAATCAAAGAGTTGCAATTAAGCCAAGAAAATTCTGATTACTGCCAGAACCCATTCCATCTTTCATTAGGAACAGATCTGCACCAGCTTACATAAAACTGTGCATAAAATTGTTGCCTTTTTTCTCCAAACAATAAAAAAATTCCAGACGACTCCACTCCTCACCTTCCAGCCTCTCTGGTACGACTGCATCGTAATGATTGCCTTTCTTGTCCGCAGATAGTTCTGCCTTTCCTGCAAGTATAGAATACATCAATTATTATATCAAAATCATAAACGTTCTCATAAATATTATATATAAAAATCTTTCTATGGTGATTCTCTTTGGCTGTTGAAGTGTGTTTGTTTTGCAGCACTTTTAGAATCCAACAAATCCACTGCTGCTGGTAGAACTCTTCATAATACACATATGAAGTAAAAATCATTACCCAGTATTTTTCTGAAGGAAAATAAAATATAGATGAGCAGCAGCACAGACGAGCTGATACACCAAGTGCCCTAATTTACCCTATATCCCCTCCATTGACTTGCTATTAGGATTTCGCTCCTCTTCATCTTCTGGAACAGTTCCTTCTGGTGCCATCCTCGGTAGATCTTCTGTACTACCGTGGCCAGGTAGTGCATCCTGTCACGCCGCCTCTCCTCAAGGTCAAATAGCTGAAATGAAGGTCAAGGCCACATGAGAGTCAAGGTCAAATAGATAACTCAAATGTCAAGGTCAAACAAAGGTCAAGGCCACTTGACTAAAAAAGCGGTTAAAGTGTATTGGCAATAACCGTTGTCAAGAATTAATAAGATTAGACAGAGGTAAAATGTTTCTTCAAAATTACATATAAGTCAATGCCATTTCTTATTTATGTCAAATTGTAAATGTTAAGTTCCTTCTAGGAAAAAGTTTTTTAAAATAAATTTTTGCATCAGATGCCACAATTGAACCCTAGGCATCAATTGGCCACATTTTTATCTTTCTTTTTTTACTTTTTTTGTGGCATGCTTTCATGTGCCTCAGTAATATTGATAGAGTTAAGCCTAAATTAAAATTCCATGATAGAACCCACAACAGCAATTTTACCACCTTCTAATTTCATTCGTTCTGGAGAAAAATAATGCAGAAATATTTCTCACCGTGCGTGGATTCCTCACAAACAGTTTTGTCTTGCCAAAGGTATATTCATCACTGGAGATGTCTTGGGCGATCAGGATTTCCTTGACTCCATCTTTTGGGACGCCATACCAGTTGGGCCATGTTGCGGCGGAGAGCATCTTGTAGCGATATACAAACTGAGGGTAAAGCTGTCTGAAGGCATAGCCTGCACGTCTTACTCGGACATTTTCCATCAACCTACGAAAAAAACAGAACTTACAAAACACTCAATTAATGCAAAACCTTACTTTTCCCAGATTTTACTTTATCAGTTTTACTTCCTTTCTGAAAAAATTTAATTTTTATTAAATTTATCAGTTTTGCTTCCTCACTAATTTTTTTCAAACATGATACCAAGAAAACATCACCTACATCACTTTGTTTTGGGGGAAATATTAATGTCCAGAATTCCTAAGCAATTACTGTACTGGCCACTCACCCCAGATACCTGACCTGGTGTCTCACTAAGTGTTCCTCAAACACACGCGCCCTCTTCTGTTCATTGGGCTGCAAAGAAATAGTCAGTACAATAATAAATTAGATAAAAAATTAATAGATAAATAACTAATAATGATAAAATTAACTTGGCAACTGAAAGCTGGATATCACACTCAAACCCAGTCTACTGAAAACTGAAGGTGACATTGAAACTGGCATCATAAGTCACTGAGGGTCGTATCTACCATGGAACATTAAAAAGAGAGAGATATTAACCTTAGGTATATCCTATCCAAAACCATAGAGAACTTACAATCCATAGACCTTTGATATCATCATAAGTGATATTCATTACTAAACACCTTGATGATTAAGGGGAAATTGTTCAAATATCAATTAACACTGGCTGTGTATCTGTAAGTTTTTATACACTTTAATGGAGCATGACTGAAAAGTTAATCAATAATGGCTTTCTAATGAATATCGTAACACGAAAAACCACTACCCAAAACTTCTTCAGTTTGTTTTAATGGAGACATATCTGTCAAAACACCTGGGTTGCTGAGATCAATGTAGTAGTGCTACTTGTTGTTTATATTATTGAAGTGAAGTGGTTGCTCTGCTTGGTAACTCTTAGCATATCCCTTAAAATGTCAGTGTATGGTCCCACTGTTGTGAGAAGTGACTCGGCAGTGGGACTGAACATGGCACAATATTTATATCTGTGTAACTTATTTACTTATCTGTCTTACGTAATTGTCATTAATCGTAATTGTCAATGTCATCAAACAGCCATGTAAACAGCTATATAACGGTGGTTATGTTTTTGAAAAACATATTCTTTTTCTGTAACTTGTTTATAGTTTATGGTAAATCTATAATCACACCAAGGTTTATCTCATTGCTTAGAATATTTTATGAGGAATTTTACTAGTACTTATCTTCATTATATAAAGATGGTAATGCACTAACTGTATTGTATCGTCATTTGTATATCATATTGTACAAGGTCATGACAATCTATGTACCAGTACAGAAATAAATTGAATTGAATTGAATTGAAAATTGAATTATTAATATTAATGTGTTATCAACAAAAGAATATCATCATAAAACAAACATTTAAAAAAAATCTTTTTCAAGGAGTAGAAATGACAACATTGGCCATTTTGAGTACAATCTGTTTGTTAGTTTGTTTTCTTTTTCAAAATTTTCATCATCTTAATTCAATAAATTTCTCCTCTCCTGTAGATTGCACAATATAATAAATGCTGTATTGCCATACCTGCTCTCTGTATGCCACCACAATAAATATTGTGAATTTCAAATTTCTTCAATAATTATCCTAGATGACTTCCCACTGCAGCAATTTTATCTCAGTTAAACTAATAATGTGATGTTGTTTTCTGAAATCTAATTCGAGATTTCATCCCTGTGAGTAAAGCACCTTCAGTCTTGGAAGATGTTTGTATTGTGCACTTAGTCTATAAAAATGTTTATAAATATTTTATCACCCTGGTTCTGTGGGTTATAATATTGCGAGAAATCCAAACAATTTCTACCATGACAATTAAGTTTCACAACGAAATGGTAGATAATTAATTATATGGCTATGGTACTTGGGATGGGGGTGGGGGTGGGGGGAGAGTGTTCCAAACTGATGGGTTTTTCCTGAGCAAAGGGTTGACAGATGTTTACAAGGTTGTCATACAAGAACATGTGCCACTAAGTTAACAGAATCTGACCAATATTTGGTAGGTGCAATAATTACTTAAAAATTCCATATGCCTCACTCATTCAATTATTTCATATTTTAAAGATTTACCATTTTTAGTTAAGTGGTAAAGTGCTTTCAGCCATACTATACAGCCAATTCACTTTTGAGAACTGATGAATCAACAAAATCAGACATTATCTTAAAGTATGTTGTTCCAATTTAATTGCCATTAAAACCAAAATTACATTTAAGGGCTCCATGTACACTTGCATCATACAATTGACACAGTATAGCGCTGAGTACCTTGAAACAAAACTTATCCAGAGAGGATGAAATTTTAAAGCTATTTCATACTTCATTGAGATAAACACCAGCCTGCAAATTGAACTGTAATACAGAAATCTTAAGTCAGATTTTGAGTTAAAATTTAACGTCAAATAAGACTTAACTCCATAAGTGCAAAAGGTCACTCACCTTGTATTTTCAATCTTTTAATTATACCCATGTGAATATTGTAAACTTTGTATACTCTCAGAGGTGAAAGTAGCCTAATTACATATGCCATACACACATTCACTACAATTCAACAATTCTCAAAAACAGTATGACCAATATCGCAAAGTCATCTTTGTATAGCCAGCTATCCCATTTCAGCAGTCTAAGCTTAGCCCAAGATGTTTAGACTTTTTGTGAAGAAGTGTCTTGGCTGATAGCCTCTCTGTGCTGAACAGATATAACAATTACAAATTAAAAACATCAATGAAATACACTGCCTGTTATCGACAATGTCACATGGCCCTCCTGTTGTTTCTATATATATTCCAAATAGCACTGTTCCTTCATGTTCCCAAATTGTCATGTACTTTCAGCTTCATCATTATGGTAAATACACTTACACGTCCTTACATTTCCATAATTATTTCACAGATATCAGTTTAACATCTGGCATAATGTTGGCCAAGTGTCCAAGCTGTACACTAAAGATACTTCAAAACATCGTTTCACACTGATCAAATGAACATCTATGTTTCTACAATATACCAATCTCCTAATCCACTTCTGCACTGTACCAGTAATAGTTCAGTCATTACAATGCGGAACCAATTCTGGTTTTCTTGATTAGAAGCCAGTAGATCCATTTGAGCACTTTGCAAGCATTGTGATCAGACTACTGCCTAGGGTCTACAGGAAGTAAGAAATTTCACAGAACATCAATCAAATGATATCCCTATAGAATTGTGAACTTTCTGGTGGTAAGAAACTACAGAGGAATACACAAGCTACAAGTAAGGCATCACATGTATCCTGGTATTGAGTTGGGACTTGAGCCCAAAGGTACCTTGGACTCAAGCCACTGATCTTATGGTTGCACATTCAGAAGTTTTATTGCAACAAATATATATCAACAAATATAATGGTAATTACATGCATTATGAGAGTATACAAATCAAATGTAGAATGAAACTAATTTTACAAAGAAAACACTTCGGTAATTTATTGAGCCAAATTGAATTCTCAACACTGGAAACAACCTCTGCAACCAAATCTTATCATACATGGGATCAATTCCAACACATTTGAGTAGTCAAAATTAGATAACATTGTGATGCTCACACAACCCTGCTTTAATAATGGATCCCTAGAGCTATGGCTACAATGATCAATTTTTTTGAATCACAAATAATGTAATATAATGGTAAATAACCCTCAAGTTTGCACCAGTTACTATTTCATATATTAGATGTTTTATTTATCAACTGCTAGCACCTTTATTTGAAAGAGTTATCAGCTTCAGTTTCATCTTAATTTTGGGGATTTTAAAATCATCTTTTTACATGTTTCAGAACAAGCTGTGTTATCAAATGAAAATAAAAAAAAATCAGCATAATTAAGTTTGTGAGAAATTAATTATTGTTAATAGATTAAGTGAAAGATCACCTTATTTATTTTATACCAGTTGACATGTGAGCTTTTATATATCAGTAATAGAAATTATTCGAGACGACCTCAGAACTTGTGCAAAATCAAATGCCATTTTGTAGGATTTGGAGGAGAATGGAGCCAGACATAATGGAAGATGAAGGGGTGTGGAATGGCAACAAATGAAAGCTGACAGAATTTATACATGGATATTTTCTGATTGTTTTCTAGAATTACTTTTGCAGTTGGTATTTTCCTTTTTTTTTTTTTTCGACTGTTTTTTAACCAGGGTAGCATTCACAGCCCTCTCATCTCTGAAATATTAACCCCATCTCAGCTGTTTCCTCAGGTTTTCTAGTCTTATATGACATTACACAGTGCCAATGGTTTCCATTCCACCTACATGTGAGCCACCCTTGACAGAGACTTAAAAATAAACACCAACTACATTATGACTGTTCCATAGTACTTATGTCCTATCTCTAGCCTAGCATCATGCACTCCTCTCTTAACCGTATATCATGCCTCAACGATACAGCAGAGACACCTGTTATCATGTATAATGTAGCAGAATCAGGCGTGTTTCCAGCCAACCTGGATTGACCTAATTCTATAAACTGTGACCTGCGGTTAATTTCAATAAAAAACTTGCAATCTAATGTTGGTCTTAACTTTTCAGCTTATGTTTTATTTAGCACCTTGTCTTTAGAACAAATTAATCCTGCAGCCACCGTAATTTTAAACTGTCTGTCTTATTACAATTAGCTCACCATTGGATGCCAGCCTAATTACTCCGTTTTCCCACCTATAGCTACTGTAATGTTAAACATTTATATGTATTTTATTACGATTAGCTCACCATGGGAAGCCATCCTAATCCCTTTAATATCCCACTCACAGCCACCGTAATTGAGGAATACCATATCCCATCATACTTATTTTTCAGAATTTCTTTAGTTTAAACCTACCATTTTTGTGTGTTTAGAACAAACTAAGGTTAATAAATTGGATTTTTTTCTGCTGAGCCATCAATATATGTCCTGTCAAGTAAAGTTGCCTCAACTTGAGAAAAAACTCGACTTCTATCCATATCATGCAAAAAAAAAAAAAAAAAAAAAAAAAACCTGACTTGTGTTACAGCAGGAATTGTCCCTAGTGGATTTTATTTTAGGATACCCTGCTGTCTTCACCCCATGTCAGCTGGAAAAGCTCCAGGAAAACAATTCTCCACAGACTAAATCAACACAAATGATTCACAGAGACCTTCAGTCTATTTTTGGTCATTGTTCCTTCCTATCCTGAACCAAGTTCAAATTATACACACAAAAGCCACAAAATAATATACATTAACTTTGTTTTTTAAAATTTTCTATGAACTTTAAATTTTTTAGAAACCTGTGTAAATCAAGCAATCAGCAGGCTTTAAAAAAATTTATTACTACTTTTGATAATAACTGTTTGAATATGAGACTTTTTTAAAAACTTTGTTATTCATACCTTGATACAGCGAATATAATTTGGATTCTTGGAGAGCAAATTTTTCATCAGCTCAGCCACAGACACTTTAAACTGGGATCCAGCTGTCGGGGGGCGCTTCAAAGATATCTTGTCAGGATCACCTGCAAGAAAAGAGCAATTTGATGTTTTCTCTTCAAAAAAGTTCTTAAAACTTTAATATATTGTAATTAATATCATTCAATTTCAAATTAAATAAAAATTTTTATAAATATCCCTGTGCTTTGTTTCGAATTTAAAAAAATTGTTCCGTGATCCATATTGCAGCAAATACCAGAGTGATGTAGACAAAAAAGAAGTGCACTTGTACAGGAATCACACAACTATTTTATACTCATCATTATTTCAAAATGAGCACAAATTTACGCATACATAAGTATACACATATAAAGTGAGAACCAAACTGGTATTACAATTAACAATTCACTATATTCTGGACAAAGTCAAAGAGAGAGAGAGAGAGAGAGAGAGAGAGAGAGAGAGAGAGAGAGAGAGANATTCACTATATTCTGGACAAAGTCAAAAAGAGAGAAAGAGAGAGAGAGAGAGAGAGAGAGAGAGAGAGAGAGAGAGAGAGTTTGTTCAGAAATGTCAGAGTAACAAAAGAGAATTCACAGTTTTCTTTTTTGGAGGTACAGTTCACTAATACAGTCTACTGGACAAATGAGATGATTTCACTGTGAGCACGCACAAACATTCTGTGTGATACAAGAAAGCGCATCATGTGTTTCATGCATAGATAGAGGTAGAACTTTTATACAAATCTATAAGATCTCAGCAGGTGTGTAACTCTGTGTGGGGGGTTAGAGAGTTTAAAAATACAACAGTGAAATATCCAGACTTCTGAATGAATCCAGAAGACGTGCATTGTGCCAGCATGCGACACCTCACCTTCATCGCACACTGGATGCAGGGAAGGATAAAATTAAATAAAAAATGAAAAGGAACACAACGGCAACAGTTATAAAATGGCTGTACAAGAAATAATTGACATTTTTCTACTATCCTCTGTAATAAAGAACATTCACATGTGCTAATGTTATATGCCAATTTTATAAAATTAATTTTGATATTTCTTTCAAGCAACAATGAAGAAGAAAAGATAGTAAGCCTAAACTAAGAAATAGCGACCACATGTTTATATTTCTTTAGAAATGCTTTAAGTGTAGAAATCTGAACTGCAGTAAGAAAAGACCATGCAAGCAAAATGGTGATGATGAATCTTAAAATGAATGAAAATCATTTTGGCTTTGTTGCCTATTAATGTACAGTTTGGGGGGAGACACAACATGCAGAAGAAGCATAAGAAATGACTGTGCTGCTTCTGTCTGCAAGTTTTTAAAGCATATTTTGATTTTTGTTATATGTGAATGCTACCAAGGAAAATAAATAGCCGTGTTGGAAGCTAGATTAAGATACACCATTATAATTTAAGTTCAGAAAAACTACAGAATTGAGGATTGCACTAGAGAAGACCGTGATGTAGGGGAATGTGTTAGAAAAGATCAGAAGAGGAGTGTGTTAGAAGGGAAATGCATTGGAGAAGACTAAAATGAAAGGGAATGTGTTAGAGGAGACATCTCTGGAGCAGTTTGTGTCGGTTTAGCAATTTCTTACCTTCTGGAAACAAATCCTTGCAGAGAGAGTGCTGACACTGGTACATAGCCTGGGATAAATCTCTGAACAACAGATCATTGTTTTTCTCCAGGAAACCATCCACTTTGTACACAACCTTAATAAGATGAAAAATTAATGAACTTATAAGTCAAACAAGTCACAAAAATGGTGCTGATCATGTCTATATTATTACTGCAACACTGACAATTAATCGATTTTGTCAAAAACAAAACAAACAATGATATACAGGTCCATGTCAATTTATATGCAGCAATGAGAATAAATTGCCTGATCTGAATACCTTGATTATTGTTTTCTTTTAAAAGTTTTATCTCTGAAAACTATATAACAAGAAAATTACCTTAACTAAGATTTATTGACTTTCTGGTCATGGTTAAGTATCCACCAATGTTACCTTTTAGTACAACACATTGCAATGTCTTCTGTCTAAGCTGACAAAGGATGACTACAATAGTTATTACTATTTACTGAGAACTGAAAATGGTTATATCATCTGCTTTTAATTGCAGAGTAAATTTCTCTTTTTATCTTTCACTTCCAAAACCTCACCTCTCCTGCGTAGTGTCTCAACCTAAATGAGTCATGCGGTAGACTCTTGTCAGAGCGCGCCTTCTTCGTGCCTCGACTTTCAAAGTGCGGGTGCTCACAGCACGTCTGGTTTAGCTTGTTCAAGAACGTGGTGTCCGTGACGTTGCCTGGTCGCAAACATTCTTCATCCAGCATTGCCAATATTCCAACGTTACTCTGCAAATGAAATTATATAAAATGAAAACATAAAGTAGTATAGATCCGATTTTTTACTTAGAACAACTTTAAAATAAGATTTCTTGCTTTTCCAATTATTTCCTAATTTGCCTATTTCAAAATGATTAAAACAGGGCCATGATAATTATGTCTGCTTGTCAGCAAGACATCACAAAATCTGAGTTCTACTTATCTTCGTGACAACAAATCAAATAATTTACATCATCGGGATAAATTCTGTACCTTCTCAATGAGGTCACAGATCACAGAATTATCAAAGTAGTCAACGTGGATCCACTCTATCCCCTGTAAGACAACAGGAAAATTTTATAGTGCGATGAACGAAAAGTAAAAACATTAAAAATGGTTGCTCTGAAACAATGGAATGCCACCTATACCCCTGAAACACATTTAATATTAAATTTAATACATCAGTCATATAAATTCAGGTATGTAAAAGTTTTTTTTATAAACTGCAAGGATAACAAAAAGAAAGAAAAAAGGAGAATCCATTAGAAAGATGAAAAAAGATGTTCTGAAAAATGGTAGCTCTGAAACAACTGGATCCCACCTTTATTTTCCACACCTTAAATTTGATGCATCAGCCATATCAAACGGATTGAACTACAAGGTTGTCACACCTAACATACTGTCACAATACCTCACCTCTCTGATATACTCCTCCTGTTCCTCCTTCAGTGTGAGCTCTATAAAGATCTGCTGTAGTTTCTCATTGCAATAGTTGATAATGAACTGCTCAAAGCTATTGCTCTGAAACGAAACATTTCAAATATATAACATGGAAGCAGGGTCGGTGGGTGAAAAGTTCATTCTCAGTCATAATTAGATCTTACTAGCTTCTAAGCCATTTCTAAAGTTGTCAGTTGGAAGGTCAACATTTTGACAAAAAGAATCCAGTCTGATTTTGCTGACTTCGGGCCAGGTATAAAACAGTGGATTTGACACTTAAATAATCATCTAAAATCAAAACCACTGAAGTCAACTGCTTTAATTACATAATATCATTTGCTTTAAAGTCAAATATAAGAATTGAATGATAGCCATGATGCAAAAAGGGTGTGAACAGTAACACCTCAACAGGTTTTAGTTTCAGCATCTACCTACAGATGGTGTTAGTGATGATCTTCATTTACATATTCATCAGATCATTTACTTACTTCAAATATTTCAAAGCCATATATATCCAGAACTCCCATGACTTTCTTCTTGCCTGGTGTACGCACCTGAATGATATGAAAAAAATTATATATGCATACAAACAAAGAAATTAATCAGTGTTTTACAGTTACTGGAATGAGGATAACACTTGTTCTGGTGTCAAAGAAATCAAAAAGAGCAAGACACTAAAATAAGGCTTGATAATATATGAAAATTAAAGTATTATGTCACACCAACTGAGTATGAGATTAAAAGAGTAAAATGAATAATGATAAAAAGAGTAACATAAAACAAAGTGAAAGTAAAGTCAACTAAATGGTAAAGTAAACTTTTAAATGTTAATAATGAAATTTGAACATTATAGGTTGAACTATTCTGCATATTAGTCAATATAGCCTTGTTAAGTTAATAATTTCTGACACCTAATAGGGTTAAAAGCTAACCTGAAAGCTGTTAAAGGGACAGATAAATAACAAGGTAATTCAACATAAAATGGTGAAAATGATTCTGAATTTCGACTTCAAAAACTCAATAGACAGTGTAAAGATGCACCATAAGAGGACCAAATAACCTTGGAATTTTTTTTATTTAGAGTGCATACTAAATAATGGAAATAAAACAAAGGGTATACCATGACTTTGACAGTGACAGTGTGGTATTTAAGAAGCAGATTTATCTGTAATATAAAATTGGCAAAATGTGGCCCAGCTAAGAAGAAAAATAAAGGGGAAATGCAAGAGGAATATAATGAATATTGAATAAATAATGGAACCAAAGCATAAGATGGCATTAAATGACTTGTTAATGATATACAGGGGGTATATTCAGGAAGAGATGTGATGGTAAAAGATATCGAATTTCAATCAAGAGTTTGTAGCAGAGGTTAACCACAAAGTTGGCCAATGCATGGCGTTTTCTTATTTAGTGTGAAGAGGTTTAATTGTTATTAAACTATATCATAAAACCATGTGTAACTCTAAAACATGCAGCATCTGAATACCAACATTTAGCTCCCAAAATATTTAGAGCCATCTTTAAACCAGCAGACTTGAAAGAAATGAGGCAAGAATTTGTTAAGTATTAATAGCATTAACAGGAAACCAGATAATCATTATGTATTAACAATTCTGGTTGAAGAGATTGACAAATGATAGAGTAAATTGTAAATTGACAGAGTTAGTAGTCTGTCTCTCCCCCTATATATATATACATACATGTATAGTTTTAATATTTAGCTCTTTTTGTGAAGACAGTTTGTTAAATTGAGTAATGCAGGAATGGGGAAAGCTAGGAGACCAGGGAAGGATGGAAGCTCTTGCCAGGTATTATTCATTACAAAAAGAGAACTTACCATAATAGTTTTCTGAAGAAGTGGAATAGCCCAGGAGGACAAAGATGGTTTACTACATATATTTTTAATTTCTTATAACTGTATATTTTGTTAAATTTTAGTAGTTTCTGGTTTTATATCCTAACAACTGAATACCAGATTATATAAAATAAAGTGCTTATTTAATAAGTAGTTTGTGAAGAGAGTCAGTAAAGGTGCAATCTTGTATTATTTATGTGAAATAACAAAAACTCAGATTAAGCATAAGATCAAATAATAATAATAATGATGATAATATAAACAACAAAATTAAAATATAAAATAAAAAATTTGACAGATATACCCCGTCTCAGACTATTAAGATATTAATTTTGAGCAGCAACCCAATTTATCAACTTTTTACAATAACCCTCCATTCTTCTTTCCTTCTTCTTATCCCCAGTAGAGTTTAATATTCTAGATTATATTAATTGCTCATCATTTTCTAAAGTGATAATATTTAAATAGCTATCTTCATAATCAGCATTATGCTTACTATACATAATTCTTTAATTCTGATAATTATCACCCCCCACCAAAAAAAAAAAAAAAAAATCATGCAATGCTGAGATGTCTATTTGCCCCCCACCCCTCACCCCCTTCCCTCTGCAACTATCCCATCAAGTCAATTGCCTTGGATATCTTTACCTGGATACTGTCGTTGATCTTGCGTACCAGCCATGAGAATAACCTGCTGTACATGGCCTTAGCTAGGGCATCGCGAGCATATGCAGCCTGGGGGAATAACGTCAATAAAACATGACAAGCTATTGGGTTATACAATACCATTTTTGGCCAAAAGAAAATCATTTAATTTGTTAAGTTAAAAGAGTACAAAAAGACAAGCTTAATTTTTTCACAGTGAAAAATGATTGACTTCTAAAAATGTTTCAAATCCGAGAAAGAGCAGAAAAATACAGCTCTCTTTAAACAAAATGTAAGACATAAAATTGGTACTTGACAAGCTTTTCAGGATAATTCTGAGTGTAATTTTACATTTCATTCTTTTAAATTCTAAACATTTTTAAAGCAAAAGAACATGATGGTGAGCGAAGAAGAAAATATGACACTAGAGAAAGATTAAAAAGGAGAGAATAACGATTATTTTCTAGTTACAGACTGACATAAATTGAATGTAGAAGCAGAGGGAGGGATTTTTTTAGAACTACTCACCCCTGCCCCGCTCAGTCCAACTTTGACCTTGTCACCTCTCGTTTCCACCGTTTTCTCCGTCAACGCTGCTTGTAGCACCTCGTACTGACACTTCAAGAGATCACAGATTTCTTCAACCTCTGAAGTACAGAAATAAACATAAAAAAATCCATTGTTAATGTTAAGAAAACTCAGTCTGATCACCGCAATGTGATTTGTGTCAGTTGACAATGTCTTGCAACAAAACTCCAAACAATGTTACGCTGTAACACTTTTCATTTAGACTTTATTATAAAAAAAATTAACTTTCTTTTAGTTTATCTCATAAACATCTCAATGTTCCTTTTCAACAAAACTGGTCCTCTCACTCACCGTAGGACTCTTTCAACTGACAGCCGTCCGTGCCGTCCATATTGCTCTGGCCAACAAACTCTACGTTGCCCAGTTTAAGTACACTTGCCACCAGTTCAAACACGCCGCGGACTTCCTCAGGACTGAAGCCTATCACCTCCATGGCCCTCTGAATAATTTTTCAAAAGTTTAGTACACATTATTGAAGTGTCAAAATACTAAATTCTATCATCAGAGCTGGGGTCTTTCATTTTCAATTTTCTCTCATAAAATATAGTATTGATCAGAAGAACTATTCCTGAGTAACGACTGAAATATTCAACTTTTATTACTTTTATAAGATTTCTGTGATAATTTCCTAATATTCAAGACATAATAATATTCCTTTGTCACTATTAACTGCTGGCTTTAATATTATTAATATTAAAGCCAGCAGTTAATAGTGATAAAGGAATCATCTGCCTCAGCGATGTAGCCTGAAATTGAACAGGTATTTTTACCTCTGACAGTTTCACACCTTTCTGAGCAAAATGTATTCTTAAACTAGTTTTTTTTAAAGTTTTCACCATATGAAATCTTAACTGAGATTTTTTAGTGTCTAAAATATCAGTCACTGGAATATAAACATCAACAAGGTTTGTCTATTTTTCATTCATTTTATGAAAAGAATATTCCAATGTCAAATTTTTTTATCCTGTCTGTGTCTGAAATCTCATTCAAGCTACCTTGGTGACTTGAAAGTCCTGTTTGTCATCAATGGTATCCACCTCAATGGATCCACTGTGCTTCAGAAAGTTGTAACTTTCATAGTTCTTCCTCAACTTTAGAGACTCTGAAAACAGTCAGGAAAATGGGGTGACATTGTTGCATTTATCACCGAATAATAATTAGCTATAATAGAGGCTATATCATCAGTATCAATTGCTCGTTGAAACTAAATTAAAGATCAGGATACATACTTAAAAGCATAAAAATGATGCTCTGTTCTACACTACAGCCCTCATTGCTTGATCATATGTTATTTGATATTTACTACAATTTTTCTGAAGATCAATATTTTAACTTCTTAATTAGTAATCTTTTATTGTGAGATGCACTATAATTTTGAGAAATACTTAAAGAAAACAGTAGTCATAAAATGAAGTGTATATTGATTTTGCGTGGGAATCTTAAGACCATGAAAAACCTCTTTCATAGTATACTCTCACAACTTCACGTCACTACAGGTGATCTCTCTCTCTCTCTCTCTCTCTCTGTGTTGCTATGCTTACGTAACAAATTGTTGTCAGCTCCAATCAAGAGTTGGTAGAAAATGTGAAAGCTTCTTTCCCCATCTGCATGGACTGCAACACGAGACTAAAATAAACAAACAATAATCATGAAATAAAAAAATATAATTATGATACCAATCTTAATTCCAACTGACAGATAAGCTGAATTATTTATGCATAACAAAAATACCATGTTCCATTAAAAATTCTTAGCATACTTAACCTGTTGTAATCAACAACTCATTTGCATTTTTTTTTTAAACTTAAAACTATTCCAAAATAAATGACCCTTTAAAAAGTGCTATTGTACATTGAAAATACTGGCTCTCAACTTATTGTGGTAAAACATTGTATAATTAAAATTTTACTTTAATATTTCTTAGGCAGTTAGTTTTTAAGTTGAAATGAATTAAGTGCTTTGAAAGAACCAATTCAGAATAAAAAAAAAGGATTTAGTTGTCGTTAATACATATGTAGATGATTTCGGAGAATATATAAACTTTGCAACTAATATGTTAAGTTTTTACTTTGACATAAAACTTTAATTTAAAAAATCAATTTCCATTTCACCTACTTATGGAGTGTTAAAATGTTTTATATCTAAATCAAAGAATGTCTAATAATGCAAAAAAAAAAAAAAAAAAAAAATCAAAATGTGTTTCATTAAAAATAAAGAAACAAAATGAAACAAGGCCCTTGTGAGTGTAACTCCTCTTCTTAAATTAAAGCAACTCCAAACAAAATAAAGGAAGTGTTTTCAACAAAAAGATCTGAATTAATAATCTTACATTTCACCAGTTCAGATTCTACACTTGAGAAAGAGAGAGAAAATGTATAAAAAAATACTTGATTAGTGTGAATGTTTAATATGTCAAAATTAAGATATCACAGAAACACCAAGACCTTTCAAATCTAAAAAAATAAATATATTTTAGTTGAAACTCAGCATAAATAATAAAGCATGTAGAACATATTACAATCAATCTATCAAATATCATAATGTTCTCTATTTAAGCACATAGTACTATGGATGAAAAATGTATACTACATGTATATAATTATATAATTCAGCATGGTTGAAAGAGTTTTAACTGTTGGGCTTTGTAGTTGTGAAAGACCATTTACTGCACAAAACCAAGTATTTCTAATTTATTTTCTACAATGCCTATAGCATCATGTTTTGATTTTGGTGAATTCCACCTGAGAAAGCAGACCACAGTTGAAGGCCATTTCAATGACACTATGAGAAAAGAGCTAGACAGAGCTTTGTCAAGGTCACTATAAGAAATGACCTTGAGAGAGCTCGGTCAAAGTCACTGTGAGAAATGCCAGTCCTTCTACAAAAAACTGCCTATAACATGTAAAAAGTCACTGTGAAAAATTACCTAGAAAGAGCTTCTCTGTCAAGGTCTCAATGAAATGTGGGTCATTTTACATGAAACTGTCTCAAGGGAACAAAAGTTACACTTCTAATTACAATCTGTGGATTACTTCAGTCAAACTGAATATGATATTTATGGGTATAACTTCTTTGAAAAAATGATCAGATGGGAAGAAAAAAATGCCAGTGAACGGACCAACATCATACTCAAATTATTAAGCCTGAATGGTGATTTGCTATAAATACCTGCTACCAGTATAATGTGAAAAGTATATGTCTCACTTTGATTTGGTAAAAAGAAAAAGGAACTGTAGAACACGGTGTGCTGCATTGCATTTTTTTTTTCAAAACTGTTACCCAAAGCTGAACCAATTCATCATTGGTTCTCTTCTAATTTTGGAATAAAAAGGATTGTACCTTCATTTCAATGCTTTTACCAAATCAAAGAGATAATATCAAGATATCATTAAATGCTCCAGTAAAGAATTTCTTCAGCTGCGTTATATATTTAGTTACTATAGCAGTTTCTTCAAAACATTTGCCAAGTTCAGAGATACTTAGTCTTGTACTTAGCCGTGTATCATGAAAATCTGACTCCCATGAAAATCTGACTCCCCCAGTCAAAATTTCATCATGAAAACCTGACTACCCCCATGAAATTTTGACTCCCCCTTTACAAAACTTTATAAATCTTATTTTATTTGAGTACATAACTTTTATCTTGTAGTATGCATAATGGAGGATACATTGACACTTTTTTTTAAATTTTCATGAGAAAATAAGAAAATTAAAAATTTTTTTTCTACCCAATGACTCCTATGAAAAGGCTATGGGAGTCCAAATCCTACAGGTAATAAGATGAATACTTGTTTCAAAAATTATCAATTTTCACCAAAATTTTCATCATCAAACTTTCAAATACTAACAAAATATATACACTCCCAAAACTTCAATATAACAATAAATTATAAGGTGGACAGGACGTACAGTACATTGTAAGAGAGGAAGGGGTTTTAACCATAGAAATAACTGGGGAGAGGGACAACTCTTAGCTCCCCTGTTTCCTGGGATTATGCTTAATGCATTTTAACATTTGATACCTCAATTTTTTAGCTCCAGCCCTTCACAGATACAAAAAAAAAAAAACTTGGAAAGCAAGTATCTCTGGTCTCAGCTTGGTCTGAAGAAATTAATATAGTAACTTAGCAATATGTGTCTGCCTTAAATAAAAAATAAAAGTAAGCAAAAGGAAAGGTTTGCTATAAAACAATAAAGGTTGAAATACCAGCCCCCTTGCCCATGTGAGGACCTTACCTTTTCATGAAGGTCTGTAAAGGGTAGCAAATGCAATAGTTCAAAAAAATTGGCGATTATAGTGTCACTGTTTTTCCTACCACCCTGTGGGTTTGGGTCTACCCCACATCTTCTAGATGGTATGTTATACATAACAAACAGGGTGATATTCAGGGTTGTGCTGGGGTGCTAACAATTAATACAATACAAACACTGGCAAAATATTCAAGAGTTTTTCATCAAAATCTAGCAAGTGACTGAATGGAATGTTGGATAATTAAATATAAATCACACAGTTGAAGTAAATGTAGATGTTGTTCTTGAACTTTCATATTTTTTAAGTGAATCTAATAATGTTTACAAAACGGCCTTATTTCTGATTTCACTTCAGAAGAACACTGATGGTGTTAACTTGGATGACCAAGTATTTGCTAATGCTATACAAATCTACTACAAAAGAATACTTTACTGTCTTATAATTTCTTTAAAAAAAGACGTTTTTTCTGTATTGAGTTTTAACTTCTTAAAAAAAGCAACGGGAAAGAACAATTCAAATTTAAGAGTCATAAATTTGGAAGAAAAACTCTTGAATAGCTCTTGCCATAAAGCAAAACAACACTTCACATCAATGATAATTCCATATAAATGCTTCATAATCTATATCATAACAACCTTCAAAGCTTGGAGTTGAAGATAAAATTAATTCTATGAACTGAAGGGGAGAAAAAAGGTTATCCTGATCTCGGAACCTCTGAGAATCGACCTCTGTTAATTTTTTTCTGGTTTCTGGAATAACCAAGCTTTGCTTAAAGCTTATGCGGTGCATGCATTTTATTGTTTTAATTCACAGATAAATATATTTATGGCATTTGCAGCACACAGCAAAGTTTAAATAAATTAATGTATAGATATTCCCAAATAAAGCAAAACATAGCAATACCCAAATGTAGTGATAAGCAAAATTCTTTTAAGCATAATACTAAGCACATCCAATTAGGGCAATGAAGCACTGCTGCTGTACCCATATTTGGCATATGTTAAATCAGATTTTACCATATATGGTAAATATTACATCTGTTTTGACTTTATATGGTGAATGTTATTCCTGGGTTGACCATATAAGGTGAATGTTATATTCAGTGAACAAACTCTACAGGGAAAATGTTATACATTCTTACCTTTTCAAGTAAATCTGGATGGAATGAAAAAAGGAAAACAAAATATTAGTTGTTAGTATCCTAACAAACTACATTACATTATCTTCCAAATAAATAACCCACTACAACTAATTACATGTAAATAATTGATAAACATGTTCAGGGCAGTAAACCATAGGTAAAAAAAAAAGGTTCCAAAACAAAAGTGGTATCAGAACTGCCAAGAACTTGATTATCAACATAAAAAATGCTGCAAAATGTTGTAATCCATTTTTTCCAAGTCAACAGATACTAGGTCTGCCATATCCATTCAATTTGTCTGCAATTTTTTTCGATAACATGCCAAGTAATGGAAATCAGGAAATGTCTCATTCTTATAAACAGTGTGGTTTTGTATAAGCAGCAGGGTTATACTGAATCTACAACTTATATCAATGTCAATAACTTCTAATTTTTATTTATTTATTTATTTATTGATTGATAAATAAATGAATCATTTCATTTTAATGAAGAAAAAAATAATAATAATATACAAGCTTCATTCTATACAGCAGCCAACACATTTCCTCAATCTACAAGTGGGAAACAACGGAACCTATGTTTTTTTTTCTTTTTCATTTTTATTTTATTTGTGATATCCGATTAATTATAAACAATTGTTTCTCAAGTTTATATAACAGTGCATGCATAACTCAGAGAGTACATATTTTATAACAGATTTTGACAGAAAGAAAGAAAGCCATACCATTACACCATGGCGATATATATCATGACCCTAGTGATACTTTTAATGACAGTGACAGCATCTACATTACACTCTGCATGGTGCGAGAATAAGCCATTTAAATGTGTAAAATAACCAAAATATATTTGTTAAATAACAGAAAAAGATAAAGAACAAACCAACAGGTTTGCTTGCAGGCAGTAATCTGGAGAAACATAGTTTTGGCCTTTCTAGTTTTTATAGTGCTCAAATAAAATGTGAAGAGTCTATGGCAAACTGGTAAATAAAAAACTTGGAATAAAATGGCATACAACTTAAAGAAAAGCAGCAAATAAAAAATTTAAAGAGTGATGTCTCGAAAAAATGTAAGTACAAATTAAAACTGCATCTCAAAGTGATAATTATCCATGCACAATAAAAACTTAAGTGGAATAAATTGGTGTCTTGTGTAAATGCATATTTAACAGCCATGCGCTGACATGCAAAATGAACTGTACTCTGTGCAGTGATGTTAGTAAAACTTTCAAATTCTATAATTCAAATTAATAAACTGAATTTATAATGGTGTCAGGCAAAGTCAATACACTTTGAGAACATATCAATAACAAACAAACAGTTTTGCATAGCATGCTTGTGTATCACTGGAATCCAAACTATTACTAAGACTTGATTCACAGAAAATTGGTCTAAAATTTTAGACTAAAACTTAAGTCAACTTTGACCCAAGACAATCAGAAGTTGTCCAATTCAATGAACAGTTGCACCTGCTTTATAATAAGAAAGTCATGAGTAATATCTTAGACTGATATTACTGTATTTAAATCTTATGGATTTTTCTTGAGGCTATGCTATTTAAAACCAACATTTTGTCTTAAAGTTTAGACCAATTTTCAGGCTAAAGTCCTTTTTTGAAAACCAGTTTCATTTCAGGTGACAATCTCAGTCTTCCATGCAAGAGAATATGATCACACAACATCTTTGAAAATGAACTGTATTCCACAGATACTAGAGCTGTAAATAATATGTCAGAGTATAGACTTACAATTTGTGATCAAGCCTCCAATGGGGTCCCCTTTGTAATCAAATTCTATGTCCATATATTTGCCCTAGGTAATATAAATATTAAATGGGATTAGAAGACATTACAGATAAATTCTATTGTTTATCAAATACCATTGTGTTAGAGGAGACAGAAAGACCAAAAGCATTGTGTTGTCTCTCTGGTGGTGTCTTGGGTGTAAATCTTGTGTAAAAAAAAATTAAGTAATCCTTTACAAGTTTTATTCCTTAATATTTCCATTTACAATTGGAATCTAGAACATATCATATCATATCATTAAAAATCAGATTTTTATTATGAGGAATATTTTTTTAACATCTTCTTTTGGTAAATATTCATATGATAGCCATATGAAAGCTCTACGGTGTAGAGATCCACTTACAAATCTTGAAGAATTGTCATTCTTGTTTGTCTTGGCATTTCCAAATGCTGAAAATAGAAATTTGTGTTCAAAGGTTTGGCAACAGTCTTGAATCAATTTTGAAAACATGTACTGAACGTACTAAATGGTAGAAAGCTTTCACTCACTATAGTCCACTTACGCTCACTTACACAAGTAACCTTTCACTCTCACGATCGATCCCAGATTCGTATGTCTAAAACTTCACATAAGTGTGTGCGCCAGAAACCAAGTCAACCACAAGGATAAATCAATGTAACGCTGCTTTATTAAACAACTGACCCCGATTTATAACAAGAACGATCTTTTATACCAGTTTTCTTTATCATGACGATCTTAGGTGAATTTTCTGCTGCAGGACGATGTCCAATCAGCGCGCCAAAAGTTAATGAAGTCTATTTACGTAATTAGGTCATCAGGAGCGTCTCTTGATCTACGGACGCTCCCGACAAACAGCACATTATTAAACCTAAGAGTTACTTTTAATAATAAAAGTAGTCAAACTATTTCTAAAATACCTTTGTTCATTGAGTTATAACTCAAATTTCTGTTTATAAAAATTATACAGAAAAGTCAGATTTTTCTTTGCTATGAGATGAGATAAATATTCTCATCTTTGTAAAACTCAAACAAATTTTGTACCAACGTATTTACAAATTTTCTGCATTTGGTGGAAAAAAGGATCACCATATAGGGTGATTACCATTATACTGAATTTCAAGCCTGCTTGGTAAGTGCAAATTATACTACATATTATAAAACTGCCACTGTTGGAAATGTCACAACCAAGCAATGCAATTCAAGTGTCACAACTACTGCAATCAAACTCCTCATACCTTCTAAGACAGGATTTGACTGTAGAAGTTGTTCCTTTACTTTGTCTATATCCTGTCCCTTGCCTGACACTGCAGCCACATACTGCATAATCACCTTGCTGGCCTCTGAATATAGAAACATATATACATTTACCTAAGTTTCAAAAAAGCGTCTGAAAATTTATCATGGGACCCAACATCTAACCTTGACAAATCTACAGAACCATCAGAATTGAATTAAAAAAGGCAGAATTCCACGTTTCCACAGAAAATGCTCATTTTGATCCTTGGCAAGATTTCTCAAAATTTTAAAAGTATATATTTTTTATAAATCAAAAAGAAGGAAAGAAAGAAGACAAAGCATCACCTGTCTTTCCAGCCCCACTCTCTCCAGATATTATGATACATTGGTCCAGGTTTTTATCTCTCATGGACCTGTACGCGTCGTCTGCTATGGCGTAACTACGGAGATAAAGATAAACAGATATATACGTATATGTGAATGTACAGCATCAATAGAAATATACTTGTACTTCAAGATTATCACTATTAAAACAGCTAATTGTTTTGTGTACCTGAATTATATTAGAAAATAATTATCAAAACTTGTCTCAGTAAAGCTACAGAAATGAAAAGGCATGGAGCCAAAAGAGAGTGCACTTTACCACAACTTTCATAATAAAAACATAAATGATAAGTACAATAAAGCAATCAATTGCCTTAAGTTAAATATATTAGCAAAGTACTAGTATATCCAAAGGTGTAGACTACATTTTGTGTTGTAGATTATTATTAAGTTTAACTTTATATATACAAGCTTCAGCATGTATACTTGTTATATATAGTCAAACACAAGCCATTTGAAGAGAAACTCATTATCAAGCAAATAGTTTACAACAACAGCACCAAAATTAATCTAGCAATTATGAAACTGTTAGGTTGAAAATACTCTCTGCATCATAAAATTGTTTGAAGTAGTGACAGTTACATAGAAGTCTTCTTGTCAATTGGTATTCATATCTTAAATTGACCCAGTTGTGAACTCGACTGTAGAAGTTTCTCTACTCACACATGTGGCGGGAGTTCGTATATGTTTCTACTCTTGTATTCAAATATGACATCATCTGTGTACAGCGGGAGTTTTCTGTACGGGTTCACTGACACGACTACTGTCCCGATGTAGGTCTGAAACAGTGCAAAGGCATATTTAGAAGATAAAGATGCTGAAAATTTAAAATGTTTAGTGTGCAAAAGTGTTGAAAACATTCACAGTGATAAAAGCAAACTGTCTTACATCGAGGATAAAATAAAGCATGATGGGATAGTCTGATGGTGACCATAGCCTTGACCTTTAAATGTTAGAATGAAAATAGAAATAAATGACATCAAGTTAAACTATCAAAGATTTGCTTTCAGTTTAGTGTAGAAACTGACCAGTTTAAAATATCATCACTATAAGTAACATTACTACACAGATCAATTCTCATCAAGGCACCAAGCAATATTTGCCTGTTAACAGACACATCACTGTATAAACTGGAGAAAGGCAATCAATCATTATTCTTCATATGTAGCTAAATTAAATCATCTTCAAGTTAGTTCTATATCCTCGCCTCAGCCTTACAAAATGTAGGCTTTTGTTGGGCTGAAAACGATACGTCATGCCCAGCTTTCACATTAAATGTCAAAAACATCATCGATTTCAACACTGCTGCCTTTTACTCTAGTTTTCAATAATGTAATGGAAATAACACTGTGATCCCTTTCATAACACTGGGAAAAAAAAAGAGGAAAAAAAAATACCCCAAGATGTGAGTATCATGATAATAACAGCGAAGGCTTCAGGCAGACTAGATTACTGAGGATGAGATCCAGCTGACTGGTTGCCATAGCAACACAAAGTAACACATGGTTACAATGATGCACCTGAGTCCTGTTAAAAGTCATGTATGGTTTACCAGTATCATATATACCTAAGTATGTAATGACTGACAGTTGTTGCCTTGGCTTCTCTGCATCTTAGTTGAAGCAATTAAAAAGCAACCAATTTTTCTATTATTATAAGAATTTAAATTGGTGCAAATCCATTTTTCTCCATATTTTTCTCTACTCAAAACCCAAAAGCATTTATTTTCTGCTAAATATCTTAAAAATAAGTCTATACTTATATATTTTTCACAAAAATGGCATCACAATAGGAAATTTTAGAGATTTCAGCTTATTTCCATTAGATATCTAAACAGTGAAGAGGAGGGGGGGGGGGCAATCTTTTCCGGAATGCAGGTACTGAAAAAGGTAAACAACAATTTTTTTACTGGGTGAGTTTTCGGGGACTTATTGTGCTGTTATTATAATTTTTTCTTATATAAAAATCTTTTTTAGTCAAACATCTCTATCCTCCATTTACATTTTACTAATATATTTTTTATACTAAAATATTTGGGATATTTACTAAAAAATTAGAAAATTTTCATTCAAAGTGTCCCAAAATGAGTTTCAATATAATCCCCCCCCCCATTTTTTTTTTCAGCCAAGGTTATAACATAATGAACCTTGAGTCCAAAATCCAGCAAAAATCCTTGATATTTTAATACTTAAATACTTACATAAATCTGCTCGTGGTGAAACCTCTTTTTCAAGTTTTCTATAAATCCCTCTTCTTCTATTGGTTCTAGCAGCACAGCATCGCTGACACCTATATTATTTTCAAATAGTTCCAGCTTGTGCAACGCCATCTTGTTTTCTTCTCATGGAACGTACACCAATCACAACTGCTCTTGTTGAAATCCCGTCACCTCATGTTTGATCCTGTAATTGCATGGATTTCATGTAATAAAATAATAATACGTTTATATCTAAATCTTATAGCAGGTGTATATGATCTAAGAGAGAAAGATTCAATGTTGTACTTATATATATATCTGAGTAGATTACCACTTACAATACAGTAAAAGATGTCACATGCAAATTGATCTAACCTACAACAGCTCACACCGACTTGAAATCTGTGGTTTAGAGTTACCCTCTACCAGGGCGAATGATAGATTTTTACGGATATTCACAGATATGTCTCTAGCTAGATAGATTGTCATTTTCAGCTGAAAATGACAATCTATCTAGCTAGAGACATATCTGTGAATATCCATAAAAATCTATCATTCGCCCTGGTAGAGGGTAGTTTAGAGTAACCAACATGGCAGTACCCTAAGATCTATTGTCAAATGTTTCATCAATATAGTATAATATATATTACACGTGTAAACAATGGGTGTCTGTAAAAAGTGTACACTCGTATCATTGGCAACTCTGATGATTTTTCATCTTGAACAGAATCTTCTTCACAACTTCCTGTCAAAAAGCGTCACCTAGGTAACTTGAATGGATGCTGTTATGTCATGATTATTAGTTTTTAAGAAGGATATGATTTGCGTGATGTCTGTCCAGGCAGAAAAATAACAAATGTACAGACATATTAATGAGAACCAAATAATAAGAGAAAATCACATTTCCTGCATGACACTGGAAAACAAAATCTGCAAGTCCAAGAAAAATTGAGCATGGGGAAAACAATGGATATCCCTCCTCCAAAATCACATCAAACATTCATAATATTATAAATCATATAAAAAATTATCACAAAATTAGCCGAAAATAACTTCAGAAAAACAACAAAAGACTTTGTAATAAATTATCACTTTTTCTCAAGGTCTTCTGTTGATTATACAAATCAAGTTAACCAAATAGATAAAAATCAGCCAAATGAAAGTGAAACAAATTGACAACATGCCACTCAAACAGCACGCGTTCCCTTATTCATGCATCATAGTCCTATTATTCATATCTTTGTAAAATACCATCTTTCTACATGCACTCAAGGTTACCAAGTGGGAATCCAACCTTTTATTGTATCGTAATGAAAGGTTCATTTCCCCTGAGTGTCAAGCTCAAAGACAAAGCACAAGAGTACGAAATTGATATCTTCAGCACATAATAGCACGTAAAATACATTAATATGGTTTTGATGTATTCTTCATAGGAGTACATGCAAGTTACTTTCACTAAAAGATATTTTAAAATGCAATTTGTAATAGCAATTAGGAAATGAAGGTTCCCCTTTCAATTAGACTACTGTAAGGGCTCATTTACAAAGAAACAATTGTTCTACGTAAATCAATCCACAGGATTATCAATGAATGGCGGTGAGTAGAATACAGAAGAGCTGGTGATTATTGAAGTACATTGGAAACACGAGCAGGCGCATTAATCTGCTTATCTGATTGCATCCAGAGACTCCCTGCAGAGTTGGATCGAACTACACTGTACGCCAATTGCACTGTGAATGCACCCTTTGACACTGGTGTCCGTTTTAGATCACTTTGCGTGCTTTACCAGCTAATGAGTTTTTAATCACAGACTTGTTAACAATATGCCTGTGCTAATTTCGTTATTAACAGAAATTAAAGTTTTCAACAGCAATTAAAATCACTCAATATCATCAAACAATAGGAAATTATATCAGAAAGTACATTTTTGTGAAGGTCTAACAATGGTAGATCTCGAATAAGTTTTTTTTTAAAGGTGAGGCTTTAAAATGATAAAAATTAAGATGGTCAAAAACTGAGCTAAAAATGGAGACAAACTTTCATCTTCCTACCTTCCCCCTCCCCCCAACCCTTCACCACTGTAAGAATCTCACAATCATTATTTTTTTAATATTTCACAAAATTTTTTTCAGACCTGCGAAAATCATCAAAATCTTACTGACATTTCCCACAAAAATCTTCTTTCAAATTCTTTCCAGGCATTCTGTATGGAAAGTGTCACTTTGGCCTTTCTGTCAACTCTGTGCATGCATGGATTCAGGTAATGGATACTTCGGCAAGACAACCCTTAAGTTCATGTTAAACAACATGGAATTTTGTAAGCATATCTTTTTGTCATTTACAGGTAAACAAGATAATAAAATATTAAGAGGAAGCAGGTGGCTAAAACGTAGAACAATCATAACAGTCACAAAAAACCCATACCTCAGATACATGCAGCACGCAATTTAAGGGACCATTCTCAGCCAATATCGGACTAACATTGGATCGATCTATCTCTAAGGGGATTCTCGCTAAATTGCTATCCACTTAAGCAGCTATGATGTCTGCCACGCCTACTGAAGCTGCTTGGGGGTAATTAATTATCGTTTAGCAGCTTCAGTGGATGTGCTAGACATCTAAGCTGCTTGGGACTCTTGCTGAATACAATCATTTTAACAGACTAACATGTCTCTTCTTGTTTCCAACAAGCTCATATAACCACCAGCTTTTCTGTCTTCTAATTAACGCCAGGAGAAGGTGTGTTTATTCACTTCCTTTGCAGAAAAAAACGTTCAAAGTAATTCATAACTCAAAAAAGATGTAATGTATCTTTGGATATTGGAAAATTTCCACTTTTTGCTGAGGTCATATACATACAAAAACATGGAAATATTTCAGACTATGACAAGCTTTCATACTATCCCTTTTTTTGTATGCCCCTTTAAAAACTGTCCGAACTGATGTACCTTTACCAAATTAATGTGATTGCCCCTACCTATCCCGACATCTAATTGAGCCAGTAACTAATGCTGCACCATAATGATAATATGCATCCAATTTCATGGACGTTTTTTATGTCTTGGCTCACAAAACACAACACTTCTAGCCTGCAGCCATTTCTACATCACACGAGATGGAATTTTGTCTTTGTCACCCGTCCACAGGATGGAAATGAGAATCAAATATTCTGCAGCATCACTAAGGCGAACGGAACCAAAATCTCAAGGCATTTTAATATAATTATTCATGACAATTATTTAGAGAATTTTTATTGCATCCAAATGCAAGCACACTGAATCAGAAATGGTATGTTCAGTTAGAAAATGAATATAGCCCAAGTTTGCCTGCAATATGTTAATTTGTTCCTTGACAATTTTATTTTCTTTCCTTTTATAATTTTCATATATAATATAAATTATTATTTAATTTATTACAGATGATACATTATTGTTACATGAAGGTTTTATTATTCATATAATAAATAAGGTGTAACAACAACAAAACTAAAGGTTCTTAATGTCTTTCACACAGCTTTTTAAGAGCAGAGTGTGAAATCAGTACAATATTATCTGATTATGTCAAATATGCCACTCCTGAAAGCAATTCTGAAAGCTACTGGGTCGTACCTGAGATCATTATAAAGCCTACGCAATACCTATTTATTTCTTGGCAATAGCCATCAATGCAGAAACCAGGTTGACAGTACTTGTAATTGCTATTACAAAGCATTAGCACTTAAGGATGTTATGTGACCGTGGCGATATACTCTTTATTTGGTTTTAGGTGTGTTTTTCAGTACAAGAGAGTACTTTCTTCCAGTATGTATGTTAAATAATACACTGCCAACCTCTCTCATTAAAATCTTGAATACCTCTCGCTGATGCTGAAGCCAGCTGAAGATGTCCTGGCATATATATATTTTGATCATGTGACAGCGTATTATCTTGCACATAATAGACATTTTACGCAGGGGTCACCAAATATTCAACCAATGATTTTGTGTGATACTTCAATATTCAGCAAAAATGATTCCACAAGGAGCCTGGAGTTGAAAACATTATCAGAATAAACAGATCCTAAGGCCAGAGAGCATTTAAGACAGCTTAAATATTTCAGGTATATCAGCCTATAAACCTCTACCCTTATACCTGGCAGACAGCATAGGATTTTTGCATTAACTAAAAAAAAAACATTTGCTGAAGATATTGAAATCAAAATTTCATTCTGTTGTACAATAGCATTTTAACTGATATGTCTCACTATAGGTCTACATACATGTATATGCACTGCGGCATATGTGTTACGGGTAGTGAATATTAGAATGTCACAAACATAATATGTAACATGTGCTGCATAATCCAATATTGTTATATAACAGTGCTGCACTTCCCTAAGTTTTGAAATGTCAAGAAGATATAGTAGAGAGAGACTCAAAAGAATGCCTCTCAAAGGCAACATTCAGATAGACACACCTTACTAGTTGGGGTGGTCCAACTCTGCCGGGGCTTTTGCTAGCTAGTTGCAATCAGCTTAACAAAATGACACACCTCCTTGAGCAGCTTGGGGGTTGTTAACTTGCATGTGCACTAGGGTAAATTACCCTAAGCTGCTTGAGGAGGTGTGTCAGACCATTAAGCTGATCCCACTGATTGCACTTAGCAAGATTCCCCAGCAGAGCTGAGCTGAGCCAACTAGACAGATGTGTCTATAGATCTCAAATGGTCAAATATGTAAAAAGCCTAGAAAAACCTGTCCATTCTCCATGGGTCTTCTGGCAACTTCTCTCATATTGAAGAGTTAAATATTATCATTCAGTACTGATTAACTAAGTGTAACATAATAATCAATATTATCATTGCAATGATCTGGAAAAATTCCAGTTCCAGGGTCCCTTAATTAATCTCAAAGCAGACAGTTAATCTCAAACCAGACATTAAATGTCAAACACGTTATTTAAGCCTGTAACCAGCACAAATTACTGTTGTTTCGTGCATATGCTTCGCTAGCGAGAAAACTCTACGATCAAGAAGACAACAAACTCCCCACATGGGATTATTTTCAATTCATTTACTTCAGCTTCCACCAAACCAAAGATAATTTGTTGGAAATCAAATTATTATAGTTTCCTGCAGACCATATCATAATATTCTTGTTCTGCCTCAAGCAAAACATTTCTATGGAGTTAGTATCATCTCTTAAGGATGGGATACACAGTCACAAAATATATCTAAACTGCAGAGAATATGGGAGCCTTTAGTTGTGTGAAACATCTTCTTCCAACAGTAATATCTAAACAATTACATTTTCTTACTGTCTTTTAAATGCCACTGCAATGTAATTTAATAACTTTAATCTTTTATGTGAGAAGAAATTGTAAACTAATTCATTCAGTGGTCCCTCAGGTCTCAAGTAAAGGGTATGGAATCCCCAAAGATGGAGGATGGCGAGCATGAGCCAGGCATGTAGCTGTCATGTCTGCCTCTGCCAAGAGAACTACCTTTGTGTCTGAGATAAAAAAAAACAGCCTAATTCGCGATAAATTTGCACAATAAGATCACCTGAATACAACTTAACTATTGGTCTAAAACAATAGCCATTTCTTTCTTGACATGTTGTAAAACAGACGCAATGTCATTGGGTAACCACAACTAATCTATCTTGGGACTTAAATCAAAGTAGACTAAGGCCGCATTCAGATCAGTCGCTGGGTCAAATATGGCCACCAACTAAAAAGCTTGCCGTCTAATCCTAATATAGTCCGAGAATATAGACACTGAATATATTACCCACAGGGAACTATTCAAGTGGGTTGGCCATATTTGATCTGTGGACTTGTTAGTCCACTGTTCTGAGTGCAGCCTAAAACAATGGTCTAAAAAATTTAGACCATCTAGTCTTTGTAGCTGGAGTTTTCTGATGAAACCATCCCCTGGTTGTGTCAATTTTAAGCAGAGTAAGGGCACATTCACAGCCAAAGCTGATCCGCAGAATATCATATCCACGGATTAAATATGGCCGACCCACTTGAAAGCTTGCCACATAATCCCTGCAGGGAATCTATTCAGTGTCTATTAGGGGATTATGCAGCAAGCTTTCAAGTTGATCAGCCCTATTAGATCAGCAGATCTGTTACTTCGTGGATGAACTGGTTGTGAATGAGACCTTAAGTCTGGCAATTTACCTTAGAAGAACTGACATGGATTCCTACATATTATGATGTGTGTCATACAGTTATGACGATTATCTGGATACATTCCTGGACCCTAAGTCTGTATAATAACAGCATGCAAAATGGCATGTAAACTGAATATTAATCTTACTAATAGAATTCAGCATAAAACAGCTGGGTCTCTCTCTCTCTCTCTCTCTTTATTTTTCTTTATTTCTTTATTTTTTTTTTAAATCAAGATTACATTCAGACCTTGTGCTGAAATAATGTTACCGTATACAAAACAAAACTGGAGAGATTTTTGTTTTGTTTTGTTCAGAAGGTTTATAATTATCGAAAGTAAAACAATGACAGTTCATATCTCTTGAGATTACACTCAACATGTTCACATGACCTCACATGTTAATGTCAAAGGAGTCTAGTTCTTTACACAATCAATAAAAAGCACTTTTGTCTCATCCAATTAACACAGTCACACAAATCAGTCATGCATTGCTGGCAATTTGCTCTAAATTAACCTACTTTTCATGAAATTTTACAGTAGAAATCATTTCATTTATTTCTTATGCTGTTCAGTACTCAGTAATTATTATCATGCACTAGTAGATATGGAGAGCAAACAAACCCAAAGTTTGTCTATGGTAAAACATTCCTGAGAAAAGAGGTTAACGTTACTGAATGGAATTATATCTTTTACTTACCTACAAATATACTTAAACAGGTCAAATTGATCTCTGGGTCTGGACACTGAAAAAACAAAGCAAAATTCTTATTAATATTTTTATTAAAAAAATAATATTAATTTTTGGTACACTTGGTACTTGTCTAATTCATTTGTGAGTTACTACTAGTTCTTTCTGAAATGAAAATCAAGAAGAAAGGGGGCAGCACATTTTGTGAAATATAGTTAAGTTTGAGACAAGATACCACTATCCTTCCAAAAATTACAAAAGGGACAGTTTTACCGAAAAAGGAAATAAAAATAAATAAATAAAAATATAAATAAATAATATGCTGAAAATATCTTAACTTTAAGACTAAAGTTTTATTTTCGGACTAAAGTCCAATTTTTGCACCAGAGACCTCTTCAAATCTACCCCAGGGGCATTCACTGCCTTATGTATGAAGACATACGCACATGATTCATGTAACATTATATATGATGCTTGTGCATTATCAAAATTACCATCCTGTCATTTGTGATTCAAGTTAATGACATTAACAGTGACTGATTCAAACAAAATGGTCCACTAGGCTAGAAAACGCTGGGCACATGGCCCCATTTTCACGGCAAATGCTCAATGTCTACTACATAATCGCTCATTTCATGCGACAGGGTGCGCTGTAAATGCCTGACCAATTAATCAAGAGTAATGTACACAAATGGATCACTCTAATTTGGTTAAAGCCATCTGTCATAAAAATGATCAATGGCTACCATTTTTCAAGGTTACAAATCAGGATGGTATAGTTCCCTTCGTAATGCATATTTTGACTGAAAAAAATCATTTCACTTTTCAGATCAGCTCTGAAACAATAACATCCTATTCATTAAATAAAAATGAGGTCCAGTGTTAAATCTTTGTATATCATATAATGTACAGTGTATGGAGGAGAGGTTTCAGAAAATGCTTTCTTTTTAAAAAGATGTCAGATCTGAAACAAACATTTTCCTTGAAAAAAAAAACAAGTCTTAAAAATAATATGCACAAAAAAAATGAAATTAGACTCTACAAGAACTGCACATGTTTTTTTTTCTATTATTATTTTTTATCATATATTTTATTACATCTACTGGACCAGATATGGGCTTTACTAAAAAGCCAACATTCTTTCAAATATTTCTTCCCCAACGTTCACTGTGCTGGAGGAAGGAAATTTGTGCAAAAAAGAAGTGATGGAACGGTTCAGATATTGAAAAATATAACTTTTCTTTTTTCAAGTGTTTCACTTCTATTGTGAAAAGAAAGTACCGGTTCCATTCAACATGACACCCACAAGAATTCAGTTTTTGTATTACACAAAGATTACATGTATCTACTGTACTGTTTTGTATTCAGCAGGTGTAAGTGACTCCAGAAAAAAAAATATACAAAGCATTATCTTTCAAAAACGACAATTGAACACGATGCTGATGTATAAAAAGTGAGTTAAAGAAAAGGTGCAGTCAAAAGCAAGTGGATAATATTAGTATGTTTTTTACAATAGGTTTTCACTTATATCTGTATTTTTCTGAACACAGCCCTGTCACTTATCTCTCTCTCTCTCTCTCTCTCTCTCTCTCTCTCTCTCCTTACATTAAAAGTCCAATGATGATAAACTAAAACATGCATAATAAACACTACAAAATAAGCCCAGCTCTTCTCAATATTAACACCAAAATTTCCTCTTTAGGACATAATTTTCATTACAAGTCTGTGGCCATACATGCAGCAAAGATTTAAGTGTGTTATATGAGAGATCCTCAGGTGTGCATGTAAGCATCATGTTTACCTGGCCATGTAAGCCCTACAACGATATTTTATATACCAGTACTGCAGGCAAAGTCTTGTGTAGAACATCAAATTATCTCTTCCAGCAATTCTTGTACATCAGACTCCCAGGGCGCGACACAAGCCTCCATCAAGCTATATCAAGTCACATGCATCCAACGACTTACCGCACACGTGCAGTACATTTGTCTCGTGCATGCTGTAAGTGTGGCACTGTCTGGCTTCTGGAGATGCAGACAAATTGTTCGACTGTTCTTACATGTCACATTGGAGATTATGCTTCATAAAGACTAATTGTTTCGTGGTACATAAAACCCTCACTGTGCATGTGCCTACGCGTTGGCTGGCTGCGAGGGAAAAGTGACTTTTGTCACATGATCTCACGTGGGTTGTCACAAGCCCTGTTCCAATAGCTAGAGATGCTACCCTGACTCAAAACCTTCAAGAGAAAGATGCTGACTTATCAATGCTCAATATTCCATTACAGAAATTGTCATGGTGGCCTTTTAAGCACATATGTAAATTTTATGTAAATATTGTAAAATTTCAAATATCTGTACTAACTGTTTGTCATGTTAAAGCCATTTCATTCTGTGGCTACATGCAGATCATTGATATTTTCTAGATCACTTCATAACATCTTTTGCTGCTGCACATCCCTTGGCGTGATCTCATGTGGTAACTTTAAGCTTGGCATCTTTATATTGAATAACACTAATAAGTCGCAAATCTTTTTATTCTTCACACTGAAGGTTTTAGATCTGGACGCACAAAGTCATAAAAGTGGAAAGGCATCTTCAGCCAATGTTTTTCGTGCCATATATGCTCATGGCAATAAATAAGATTATTTTGCTCTGCTATACACTTCTGCTTTTAAAACTGAACAGATAAATTTGTTTGACTTACACCAGTACTAACTGAATCTATTCAATACCTGGATTATTTCACCCTATCTTAATTCTTCCATAATTCCATCACTTAAAATTTATGACACAGATAAAGACAAACAAAAAAGAAAATCTATGTTAAAGCCCTACAAAATAAGCTTTGTCTGACCACGAAATTTAAATTAAACTCTTAGGCTGTGTCCACATCTGGCTAGGCTTAGACTTTTCATATCTGTATACAAAATTTTTCCACTTATGGACAAACAAACTGGTAAATAATAATCAAACACTTATTTCGCTCTTTAAAAATCAAAATAAACAAAATGACGAAGAGAAGAGCTTCTGTAACATGATTGCAAAAGCTGACCTACAAATACATGCTGTCAGATTGCAGCACACAAAATAACAGGAAAATTATTGTCTTGGGTTCATATTCAAACACAGAATAGGCCCAAGTTAAAAATGATATGAATGCCCCTTGCATGAGCCGTCGACCCCCTCCTAGCAGCCAGGTAGAACAGGTAGAGCAGTCTTATCACAAAGAGGAGTGATATATAATTAGGTCATAACCAGTAACAGATAAACCAGGAGTTAACGAGGCGAGGTTCTTGTGATGGTCGCGTGCACGAAATAGGACTGAGCTGTCACTTATATATCTTGCAGAGGCGTGAAGTATCTGACTTGTAGAACACTCTTGCTGAAGTCAAGAACAAAAGGCGCTCTGAGGTGTAACTCACTTTCTGTTATGTATACGAGATACTCCTAAATCTGGGCCTTTCGTTCTTTTGTTCTATGTATCCTAGAATCCCCCATAGTATAATTTACATGACTGCAAGTTAAGGGATCCTATTCTAACATAAGCTTGCTTTTTTATCACTATCAATAAACAGGAAAACACAGATATATGAACATAAGACCGTGCCAATGTCACTAGACAATAACAATTTGGTATCCAATTAATCACGGAAAAATACTTGTACAAGTTAGATAAGACTGCTTTGTATTACTTAATAAAATGAAAATGATATTTCTGCTAATACAGGTCTGTAATCGCAGTAAGCTGAATTGTTTCACTTCCCTACTTTGAATGTTATATATTGTCACTTTGGCATTTATGAAGGTTGGGTTTATTTTTAGTGACCTACTAGTTTAGATAATAGATGCATGTACAAAGACAATGATGACATGCATGGCCCATGCATTTCTATTCATTTTATATACTCCCAGTGTGAATAGATGCATGTACCAAGTATATGTGTGGGTGTACACGCATGCATTTTTTCTATGCATGGATTTTTTTTAGATTTTATTTTTTGGTCATTTAAATTTTGGTGGATTTTATCATTTAGATTTAATAGTATGTGCAAAATAATTGAAGTATTAATTTCATGTAACCTTATAATAACTTTCAAGTAGACTCCCTGCCCACTCTTGATTTTTTAAAAAGGTACAGATAATTTGCTTTAAAGCTACTAGTAACTGCATGAGACTTAAATTTCCTGCCAAAATGAATTTTCCTGGGGTAAAGGCCAATGTTTTCCTGCTTTATTATTGCTTGATCCATCCTTGCACATGGATTCGATGTTTTATTCCATTTTTAATTACATAATTTAGTTGAACATGACAACCCAGTCATTATTACGACATCTGCCATCATACATATTGCATCATCTTCATACAAAAATGAGGGAGGGGGGGGGCGTTTTGTATGGCGGCCCTGTGCCATGTATAATATAGATGTCGCAAGCTGGCAATGACTACAGCAAGGATTATGAAAACGTATTTATGACAAAACAGTACACTTCAGATAAATTTTATCTTAAGGGATTTAAAAATGCATGGAGAAAATCTCTAGATATTAGTTATCATGGGGAAAATCCCATGGAGTGTTTTTGAGTAAATATTCATGAAAACTCTCTCTTTTCATCTTTTGTCGATGTATCTTTGATTTGATTAAAAAAATCCATCCGGCTTTAAAAAATGTAAACACAAATCACTATATGATTGAATGCTTCACTTATTAATTTTCAGAATTAAGAAGGCAAGCAATGTATTGCTCCAGAAGATATGAAATTTGTTTACTAAATCTATACTAGAAGTTGATAGTTATATTATGGCAATTAATGTGAGTTCTGAGATGGTTGTACTTTTCTTCAAGAGGACAAAATGGCAGGAATTGTAAGATAGCATTTAAAAAATCGGCCTTCTAGGCTCTTTGTAAAATGCAACCTTATTAGGTAAGTCTCTAAAAGCTGAAATTTTAGCCCAAAAACTCCTTCACAGCTTTTTGAGGTGATCTATAGTTCCAATACAGATAGCTCAGCATTAATGTAAGAGTTTATGTTGGGCTTTCATCATCTAAACAGCT